TCAATCAATCAATCAATCAATCAACCAATCAATCAATCAATCAATCAGTCAGTCAATCAATCAATCAATCAACCAACCAACCAACCAATCAATCAATCAATCAATCGATCAATCAATCAATCGATCAGTCAATCAGTCAGTCGATCACTCAATCGATCGATCGATCAATCAATCAATCAATCAACAAGCAAAGTAACAAATACAAACAAACAACCTCAATATGCTTGTCAGACAGGATCTTATAAGCAAATTTTTTTGCTCCCAACGGATTTGTTGTCTGCCAACTTGCTGTGAAAAACAATCAATTTGATTTGTTGCCAACTAATTAATCTCAGCGACTGATCTGCTTGAATTGATACCGCATGAGGGTACATGCGCAAAGGTCAAGTGGAAGAGACCTTTTGACCACTTGACCTGTGCATCAACGTTTTGTTTCCAAAGCAGTTGATTGGAGGGACCTAATGACCAATTTGTGACAAGGTGTCCACAGGTCACCAATTCATATTGGTGATATTTCAGATTAATCCAACCCCATTGAACTATGGTCATCTCAGGCCAAAAAACACAAACGTGAGACCGGATCACAACTCTAGAGAAGAACTTACGGCCGTGTGTTCTTTACCTGTTAGAGGTGAAAAAATTGGAAATGATGCTGACCTATTTATTTTCCCCGTTCACGATTTCTTGTATAAAAAATCGAAATGCATAAGACTAAAACCAGCTCTACCAGTATGGCTTACCGGTCACCTCAAAAGTGGGCTTTTTAATATGCTGTTGTTTAATTGACNTGGACACCAGCATCACCATGTCAGACCGCACGGTTCACTTCTCAAAGGACTGTAGCCACTGCAGTCTGCAGACCCGTCACACTATTATCGAAACAAGTTCTACCTCGAATACCTTCAGTAAATTGATCGAATCACGGTCTCATCCGTCCCGCGTCGAACTAGTTAAATAATAGATAGTAGTTTTTCCCACAGAGATTTTACCCTTGTTCTTTATGGTTCCCGCCCAAACAGAGCACAGGTAACATTGCCGTTTTCAGCCGATACTCAGTTAATTGCTGGACGATATTATTGGCTGAGCGGCACACAAGTTCATTTTCGGTACTCAAACATATGATGTGGTTGTGTCGTTTTAACTTTGGATTGATCAGAATGCCAAATGATTGACTCAGCGTTAGCCGGTTTGTTGAAATCAATCAATCAATCAATCAATCAATCAACAAACAAACAAACGAAAAACAAACAAAATCAATATGCTTGTCAGACAGGATCTTATAAGCAAATTTTTTTGCTCCCAACGGATTTGTAGTCTGCCAACTTGCTGTGAAAAACAATCAATATGATTTATGGCCAACTAATTAATCTCAGCGACTGATCTGCTTGAGTTGATACCGCATGAGTGTACATGCGCGAATGTCAAGTGAAAGAGACCTTTTGACCACTTAACCTGTGTATCAACGTTTTGTTTCCAAAGCAGTTGTGTGGAGAGACCTAATGACCAGGTTGTGACAAAGTGTCCACAGGTCAAAAATTCATATTGGTGATATTTCAGATTAATCCAACCCTAGTGAACTATGGTCATCTCAGGACAAAAAACACAAATGTGAGACCGGATCACAACTCTGGAGAAAAATTTACGGTCGTATGTTCTGTACCTGTTCTGAGGTGGAAAAATTGGTAATGATGCTGACATTTATTTTTCCGTTCATGATTTCTTGTATAAAATATCGAAATGGATAAGACTAAAACCAGCTCTGCCACGGGATGATTATTCAGTATGGCTTACAGATCACCTCAAAAGTGTGCTTTTTAATATGCTGTTGTTTAATTGACGCCTAGGTAAACGTGTATTTTTACGCTTCAGAAAAAATTGAGGTTAAGAAAAAATGCATTATTTATTGTGTTTTTA